GCAAAAATCACACTTAGCAGGCATTACAAACGAAAAAAAAAATCCTATTATTAAACAGGAGCAGCGCATATTGCACTAAAAGTGGCCAAAAGGAAAATAACCAAAATGTGATCGGGGGACAATCCCAGACGTCGTAAGCGATCGTCCTTGAAACGATTGTAAAGCATGAATTGAATTGCACCATGAACAGTACCAATAACACCCGGCGTAAAACCCTGCAAATATTTCATTTTGCACTTTGTGGCACACCAGTCAACAAGCCCTTTTTGCAAGTGAAGCTGTCCCAGTGCCAAAGGTAAACTTCACCGACGAGACAACGAATATGTCTAGGAAATCGTTCATTCGTTTCGATGACAAATTTGTACTGACACAAGCTGGAGAGCTAAAAACATCAGCAGCTTGCTTCTAACCAATCCTCGAAAGTGGCAGCTCTGGACAAATGTGCCAGTGGTGTTACAATTCGCTTTTGCCTCACAAACAAAGTAAAATATCTACTTCTAATTCTGACTATTATAATTCTGTCGCACAAGTTTGATGACAGGCGAGCTTTTTCCCAGAAGCTGCCATTTCTTGATTCTAAAAACAGAGAGAGAGAGAGAGAAAAAAAAAAACAACGGAAAGTAGCGAACCTTGTACAAAGCAGAAAATCCTTCCTTTCGAGAAATGGAGGAAATGCAATGTGTGAGACTACGATACTGTGCCTTTTCAGATTCGTACTGCAAACACAGTCGCGTTTTAGCAACCCAAATGGGATTTGTGAATACTAGAATACCGGAACCCGTGATCATTCCCAGCAGCACGTTGTCCACCGATTCAGCACCCGTCGAGATTGAATGCTTCCTACTCAGGCCTTTTAGAATATGATAACTGCAATTATTATGAATATATATCTCCTGCTCATCAGCGTATCCAAAGTAGACATCCCAAATACGGCCAGAATATTATCAAATCAGATATCTGTCGCGTTATCGAAATGAGCATTATGGTACCAAAAAAGCGCTCCATGCATCATCAGGATCAAATTAAAAACTCAAAAAAATTTCCCGTATCCTCTCTCTCTCTCTAAGAGTCAAACTTGCCGTCTGTTTCGTATACTACAATCAGTCCCATACAAAATCAAAATTTTGAAGTAGTGACTCAA